CCTTAACGAAGTTAAGTGAAGATCTTTCTCCAGACACGTTATAGAAATGTACTTTGATTTACAAAGGAATTCAGAAAAAGCTTCCACAGAGACCCATAGGGGGCGCCAGTGTGAATTTCCCAGTCGGCATGGTGTACTACAGTTATGTAAGGGCTTACCACTGGGGGAAGCTGGCTCAAGTGTACCTGGAGTACCTATACTATTTTGTAACTTCCTGTGAGTTCATAGTTATTTCAAATTTGAAAATTCATTAAAAAATTAGCTCCAAGACATCTTAATATTTGATGCTGAAAAGATAACAGTATTACATACATAATTCTATTGTGCAACCTCCCTCTATTGGGTGCCAGCAGAAGCCAGCAATGACAGATCTTGAAAATTCTGTCCTAATTATAAATTCCAGTCTAAAGGCTGAGAGACAAATAGAAGCTTCCAGTTATTCACTCTCCAAAGCACCTAATATGTCAATAGCTCTTCATCAATTGCCACTTGAAATAACTATCAGAGAACGATGAAAGTATTTTTGTATAACCATACCCTGTTTTCCTAAAGAAAAGGAGAGTTATCTTTTTACTAACTTTCTCTCATTTTTAGGATGGAGAAGGATGATATTCATTATGAAAAATTATTAGGACATCTAAAAATCTTGATTTTGTTAAAAGATTCCAAAGACACACGGACTTACATAAGACAATAAAAGATGCAAATCAAACTAACATGTAGGCAACCTGAAGTCAGTGGCTTGAGCTTCTCTCTAAATAAAACTATAACTTGCTAAAGTGCAGGCAAAAAATAAGTGCTAGGTAAATTCAGTAAAAGCCTCTCAGAATGGTCCAACATCCAATCATCACAGCTCAAAAATAATAAACAGTTCAAACTCTACCATCTATCTACTTAAGTGATGCCAAATCATAAAAGAAAATTGTTTCATAAGAAGAAAAGAGCCCCAGATGACTCTTTTTCAGTTCTCCTTGGCTTGGAAACCTTTTCCTTAAGAAAATAACATAAGGAAAGGTACCTGCCAATAACTCATGCCAAAGCTATGGTACTTAACACTTGAATCTCTCATTATATGGTTTTTGCTACAAGCGAACAAGCATGAACTAAGAACTGAATCGGAATCTCCCATTAAAACAGGCACGTCTCTGAATCACTCTACAAATGACCAAATCGCCTTCTAGTAATGGCATATTATGTATTTTTTAATGTATATGTAATGACTGTATTCCCCAAAATTAGGATCAGATCAAAGAAATCCTTTCTTTCTGTCAGTGCTGGCCCACATCACTCAGTCCAAACAGCGTGATATGCTTACATCAATTCAATAACTGTACTCCATTCTGGTTCACACGGCAAGCACCAGGGCGTATCCCTGAGAAAAGAGGGATTTGACAAACGTAAAACCCTGAGCCAAAAATCTCTTCCCAACTAAACTTCCACGAGGCTTGAAATTAGAACTCGACTTCTTGTCAGGGAATTGTAAAGAGGCCCATTTTGAAATGTACACGATATTATTTGTCCTGAATCATTTTATTACAAAATAAGAAGTCATACTTGGCAAAAATCAACTGGTCAAAAAATTAATATGGCAAAAAAGGAAAAATTTCGCTTTCACGTTTCGGGTATGAAGCATAACCAACAATCAAAGTGAATGCTATATAACAGTGCTAGTAATAGTGTATTTTGAACACTAGATAACGCTTTAAAAATCCACTCTCAATTTAGTAGTATGCAAGAAAATCTTCTGTAATATTTCCACACATGGTGACACCGAAAGCCAGCTAGTCAGGGACGGAGATGGCTGCCGTGACTGCTTCAAAAATAGCAGAAGGGCTTGATCTGACCGGGTCTGTACACTCTGACACGTCAAATGAAGCCTCTCCATAGACAGGCTTAGGTCTTACTCTTCTCACGCCTTTCAAATGACAACCACCTTGCTTCCTCCTCTCAGCCGTTACTGTTGGTTTTCTCTTCTACAGATCACTCAGCTCTTCTCCCAGAGCATGGTGTCCCTGCGTATAAAGTTACTGGCAGCCACTTGGATGCCCCAACACCTGCATTCGCACTTTCAAATTCTGTTGGAAATACACCAAAGAATACCAATTTATTTATTCTCTAATTGGTTTGATTAATTTTAAGCTTAATGTAGAATTAAGATTTGATTGCGTACAGTCTTTGAGAGTATAAAATCAGAAATGAGACGGCTCTATCAGTTTCTGGCCAAGCGACCAAGGTTATTTAACTTCATTAAGCATCTGTTTCATCATTTGCAAAAATAGGTTAATAATTATGATACCTTCCCCACACGTTCTCATGACAACTGAATTGTTCAATAGCCACCACGTAGTGAATGCTCGATAAATGTTGGCTGTTAATATTATTTTCTCTCTTATATCCAGTTCCTAAATAAAACTTAATATGGAAAGCAAAAGAACATTAGAAATTATCAAGATACGAGAACAGTTTTCACATATCCTCTAAACAAGTTAGAATTCTATCAGGTGCAATGTTCCATGAGTCCCTCTATATTACACTGAATTTAGTCAATGCTCAAACGTCATACAACTTTTACAAAATTTTTATTCGTTTATCCAACAAATTTTTTAAAAGAGACAGCAGAAAGTAAAAACGCATGTTCTGGTACCAGATGGACCCATTAGTTAATTGTATGACCTTGGGCAAGTCATTTAACCTCTTCATGTCTCAGTTTCCTCAATTGTACAATAAAGATAATAGTTTCTACACCTCATAAGTAGTACACCTAGAATAGTGCTCAGCACAGAAAAGGTGCTAAGTAAGAAGTAAGTAGCTAACTACAAAGCTCTGTGTTCCTAGCACTGTACTAGATGGTGAAGACTGGGACAAGGACATCGTAATTGCCTTCGTAAGGGTCAAGGCAGATCATCACAGTACAATCTGTCAAATATCTACATCTGCAGAACACTTGACCCCTTGAATGCACAGAAATGGATTCATTCGTGATAAAAATTAATATTTTAAAAACCCAAAATACTGAAAATTAGCATTTGGAGTGGGTTTCTTTCTACTTCTGTGTAGGTTGAAAAATTTACATAATGAAAGATTATTTTTTTAAATGATAAATCATTTTCTCTTCCAAAAGATAAGACAAAATTAGATAATTTGAAGGATTTTCTTTCAAACCACTGTCTTTATGCTACAAACTGTCAGCAGCGACGTTCACAGTGCTGAGTGGAAAGAATTCTCTTTACAAGATTGCCACCTACTGGATTACCTTAAATTCCACAATTTACATTTTATGATTTAAACATTAAATATCATGTATAACCAGCCCAATAAAAGGTAAGGGGCTCTTTTTCAAAAAAGATAAATCCAAGCACTTGCAAAATATCCTATATCACAAGAAATCCTGTCTGTATGTAAGCTGCGAAAGACCCATTAGCCTGAAGCAATCTCAGTCACTTTCAGTGTAAATGTTTACAAAGGTCATCTGACAGAATGTGTAAAAAAGGAAGCAAAGTAACTCAACATTGATGTGGTAATTATTGCAGGATATATGAACTCACAGTTGTTGGATGTTATCATCAAGATTAATCATTAAAATAAAAACAAAATAGTAAATGGTTACATATGGAATGATTTTTAATTCACCTAATATTATGCAAATGGGTACTTGGGGCTTAGGTTAAATTTGTAATGATAGCAATATATACTGATTCAATAAGTGCTTTATCTCAACAAACTCAGGCAGAAGTTGAGATAATGTGCTTTGAAAAATGCCTTAAAATTATTCAAAAAGTGATTTAAGTGATGATGAAGACACTGGTGTTGAAGATGATTGAAGAAAGTCCAAATAAAGTTGTTTATATGAGCGGACAAAAGGCAACAATGCTAAATTATTTTTTGCGTAATATATTTAAAATGTATAGTGTAAGTGTTTACGTTAACCAAAAAAATTATGATTGGGCATTTAACTGTTTCACCTGTGTTCATCAAGGTTCCACACTCGAGTAGATCAAACCAGGAGCGTCTCATTGGGAAAAGGAAGGACGGCATCTAATCCACAAGCATAACATATGCCTCTATAGTAGAGGCATAACATACCACGTAGTCACAAAACTCCAAGACTTTTAAGTAATTATTAAATGTCAAATTCCTCAACTCAACACCCAATACTTCTTTGTCTGTGTTACTACAGACTTGATAAATGGAAAGCTGCTTTTTGTTATGCCAGGAATAAAGCACTGGGGATGTGTCATAAGCACATAGAGTTGAAGGGGCTCCCACTGGCAAATTCTGGGACCATTTGAGTACCCGAAACAATTCAACACGGTAGTGAATTATAATCTACTGTGGGGGGGATGTGGAATTCAGGAGTCCATACCAATAATAAGTAGATAAGTAAATGAAAGAGAAGGGAGAGGCCTGGCTAACATCAGAAACCCAAGGATGAAGGGTAAATCTAGTAAAAGTGCAGGAGATGGAAAATCGTCATTTACATCCATCATAGTAAAGATTGGATCAGACAAGAGTCATAAATGAATGCTCAAGAGAAGAGGGAATTTTGATGAGAAGCAGGATATTTTCATGGGTCTCCCCACAGATGGCTTACTAGTCACAAGAGAGGGGAGAAAAAGAAACTACAGTGGAGAAATCAGACATCCTGCCCAGGTGATCGAAACTAACACCACCTGCAAGGGACAGATGGGTCATCGAGCACCTCCAGATGTGATACACTGTGAAGGAAACAACACCAGCTACGCAGCAATAAACAGTCTGATAAACCCAATATGAGGGATGTTATATTAAAAAGAGAGAAAGGGGTCTACTTTTCAAAAATATCCGTGTCATACGAGGTGAGAAAGGCTGTAGAAATGTTTCCAGTTTAAATAAAGCTAAAGACATGTAGCAACTAAATGCACTATCTGAGCCTAGTGTGAAGCCTGAACTGAAAGGGGAAAATATTACCAATAACGGTGCCAGTACGAGTTTTTGGTAGCATTTAGGAGCAAGCTGCTTACCTTTCAATAGCCAGTTCTTTGTTAGAAAGTTGCTGCACTGTAATCACAACCTTCTTCTCTATTCCTTGTTTTAATTTGAAATAAAATTTATCTCTATCCTTAGGCACAGGACTGAAATATGCAAAAAGAACAGAAATTATCAATCCAATAATTTAATAAGATAATCTAGTCCAAGATTAGAATGAGACATCATTTAAGCAACACTTTTATTCTTAATATGTACTAAACTCTCACCCTGCCACAGAATAACTACAATTTTATTGTCAACAAAACCTAACCAAGGTCTTCAAATTTTAGTTTTTAAATTTAACAAATTTAGAAATATGATTTAATTATTTTTAAGACTGTCACATTTCTGGTTTAGCTGGTGGTGTGGTTGTGAGTTCCTTTAACACAGTGAAACCGAAAGCAAAGCAAAATGAGAAAAAGAGCTTACTTTTAAACATCTAAAATTTGAGATGACTGTGACATATCCAAGTAAATATAAATAAAAGATGGACAATGAAATATACATTGGGATGGTCTAGCCTAGGCTATTCTTAAGAATTATCATTAAAACAATAAATGTCTAAGATATAGGCTGTCTTATCTGAAGAAAAATTCCTTAAGTAACTTATTGGACCTAAGACTCAATTTTTGTATCTGCAAAAAAAAAAAAACAGATAAAATACCTACCTAACAATTATTGTTAAAATTAAAAGCACAGATAAGGCACATAGGTGATCAATAGAGCATAAATGTATCCTATTATCTGCCTATTTTTTGAACTAGAGAAAAACATTCTAAATATAAAAGACAGAAATACTAAATGGTCAAACCACACAATATACTATTGGTAACCATTAAAAATGATTTTGATTAAGAACATCTTAATGGAAAAATTCTTATAAAGTTAAAAGAAAAAATTATATATGCATACAACTGTATAAAAATACCCCCTAGAAATAAACAAAGGGAATAAATTAAATATAAAAGTGATTGTAGCTGACAAGGCTATAGTTGCTTTTTATTCTACCCTTATTATTTTAATCAATTTTCTATAATAAATGTCATCATTTTTAAACATTAAGAAAATCATTTACATAAAATATCTGAAAGGCATGATAAAAGTGAAACATAATCATTTACCAAATATTTCCTCAGCATTTTAAAGTATAATACCAACATTGTACACTTTCTGGAATCTTTATAGCAGCCAATATCATATTCTAAGAACAATATCAATTTTTATTCTTTCCAAATAATCTCACCTAAAGTTTCCTTTTCCATCATCTTCTTTTACCTCCAAGGAGACACTGAAGGTAAACACATCACTGTCGGTGGTAGGGATAACTGAGTCTTTGACATCAGACACTTGTCTGGAAGAACGTTTGAATGCTGTACAGAAACTATATAAAATTCTGCTTACCTAAAAGAATAAAAATGGAAGTACCATTAGACAAAGGCTTTATCTGCATTCTGATACCCTTCTCTTCTCATTCTTGAATCTATAATTCTCATGATCACAGTTTTCTTTAGCAGATATAGTCTAAACATACATACATAGTCTATAATATATTATTTATATTTATATTATAGTTTAAAATATACAGTGTACATATATAGTCGATCTGACATTTAAACACAGTAATAAAGAAATTTAAGTCCACAAAGGAACTCTATTTATTTATAAATGTTTCTAGGCCCCAGAATATATTAACCAATGATAATACCAGTGAATGAATCCTAAAATAATTACTAGAATGAGGCTGCCATCTAAATCTTCCCAACGAACACACGCAAACAAGGTTTTAGCTCAAGTCGTCAAATTTCTCTTTTTCACTTCTCTCAGCTTCAGAGGACTAAATATACTGAGGCACAGAATAAAGCAAATACTGGTTTTAGCAATAACCAAACATGGTAGCATGATTTAAAGAGCTTCCAGTTCTGTTACGCAAAGTTGCTGTGATATAAATGTATTGCAGGGTTGCCAGAGTAACGCTAGAAGGGTCTGTGATCTATCTTATTAGTATTAGGCCACCTTGGTTACAACTTTATTTAGATACATATATATGATATGCATTACATATCATATATGTAATACATGATGTATATTACATATCATATATATGTATCATATACTCTTCCCTTAAAGTGGAGAAGTACTCTAAATCCCACTCTTCCAGAAGTTGCTTTCTTCCTTGGTTTCAAAAGAAGCATCATACCATCTCACTCTTGTAAGCCTGAAGCACAAAAGACCTTCCAAATCTCTCAGACCACCCATGGGTTGAACAAAGATAACAAGATGAAACAAGAAGGGTCTAACAAAGGTCATATTTAACAAAGGTCATACTTTCAAAACCTCCCACTGGGAGGAACAAATTAAGAGAATTCTCTGACCTTTAACAAATCCTTCACTTTAGATAAAGTGAATTCAAATTATGCACTGAATTATATGAGTGTAGGACAGCGATATTTTGTAATTTCCTTGAAACAAGAATGCTTTAATCAACAGTAAAATTTTTTAAAGTATAGAGTAGTTCCTCGTTTTTGTTTTTGTTGTATTTATATATTCTACCTTTTCTCATAGTCTATCACATTCAAAACCAAGTGTTCCTCAAACCTCCAACAACCATACTCATATATATTAACCAATTACCCTAAACTGCCTTTCCAATGCAAAATAGTGTCTTAAATCAAATAACTTACACACTTTAACCGTATAAGAATGCTGCCTGCCAGTCTAAAGTTCAGCTTCAGCAACAGCATCATATTTCTATCACTGTGCTCATAAAAATTTTTAAATATTTTAATCTGTTATCCCATTATAATTTTATAAGTAAAAACAACAAAATTAGCAAATAATGGATATTAATAAGAACAGCAGTCCTCAAATCTTATACAATTAAGATTGATAAATTTACTCATTCATTCAACAAATGTTTTGAATGCTTTCTGTGAATTAAATATTATTCTAGGCGCTGTGTCACTAAGTCCTATACAGCAGTGAACATGGAGCTTACATCCAGCACATGTGAGCTGAATGTGCTTGAAGAGAGAATCATTAGCTAAGCCAAAAGCAGAAATGTTTAGCCTGAACTGGACACTTACAAGACTTAGCTCAATAATTTAAGTTTTATAGAGGAAAACGAAAACAAAGAACATGCTAGGAGTAAGTCACTAAAGAATATGCCTACAAAGTAAATGTAAATAGGGATTTTAAACTATTTTTAGTTCTTTGAGCACTCTCCACTTCCTAAGCACAAATAAAATGCGAAGTCTAATGTTTACTTTTTACACATTCAACTTCGGCATATTTTTAAGAAAACGTATGCAAAAAGAGGGGAATACTTGTACATAATTTTCTATCCACTCATAGAGTCGCACCTCAACCATAATTCCTTGTCGTACTCTCCATATCTTCTTCTATCTCATGTTCTCTGGGTCAGGGCTATCAGCAAGCCTAACACATCAGACTACGCCCAAAAAGCCAAAGAATCTGGTAAATCCTAAAGCTGAGATCACGGGCGTCTTTCTGTGAGGTTAAGAACATGGGACTGAGCCAGACACTGTTGGGGAGAAAAACGTCAGACTCCTCTTCTCTCCCCTTTTTGGGGGGAAGAACACGACGGTGCCTTTGCATCATTGCCAGCGATCACACTGCATCTGGTCCTGCCGTGTCTTACAAGTTGCTACTTACAACCACAAGGTAAAAATCATTTGTGAATTCTAGAGTCTGTGAATAAGCTGGAACGGTGATTCGTGGCTTGGTAAGGTAGAAAAGCTTCAGAAACAATGATTACCAATGTCTATAGTTACTGGAACGAATTGGGTAACCAAGAAAATTAAAAACACATAGCATGGCAAACATTTTCATACATGTCACACTATTACACACACACACACACACACAAATAATCTACCAGAATAGGCATTTTCTTTGCAGAAGGCAAAGGTTTATTGACAAATAATACAATACAATTTTCCCCAGAAAGCAGTACCTATAAAAAGCACTAATTAAACACAAAAATGTCTGTTGGGGTTGTTGTTGTTGTTGTTTTTGAAGAGGTAGAAATGGGGGGAACATGTAGAGATGTGGAAAGGAGATACAACAAAATCTTAACTCTGGTGCAATTTTGAGAAACTTTTCTTTTTTATTTTATTTTTTATTGTAGTATTTTCCAAATTATCAAATATGTATTACATGTTAATAATCAAAACATACTACTTAAAAAAGGCATTTGCTTAAAAGAAATAAGAGAGCCAACTTTTCCAAAATAAATCTTTTCCGTTAATATCAATGAAAGAGAATCAACTGTTTTAAAAACACCATATGTCAAGAAAATATTCACCCAAGAAATACATGTAGAAAAATCATTCTATAAGAGACACCTGGAAAGATATGTGTTAAAATGTTTAAAACAACTTGTTCAAATATATTACTCACTGAAAAGAGCTAAAATAAGAGGCATGCATATAAAAAAACTTTATTAAAAAAGGTTTATAATCTTTAGATTATAAAAATCTAAAGAAAACACTAACAACATAACTTCTAAATTAATTAAGTATTTTGCTAAAATAACATCTCAATAAATGTTTTAAAATATTTTCCCATGTAAAAATAAGATTTTATTTTATATAGTGGTTACCCCTAAGTAAAACTAGTGCATTACGAATAAAGATCCTCCCAATAATATCCTTGATATTTACCATGAAATACCTCTGAATGCCTTTAACAGCAAATGATAACAAGTGTGCTTCTAAACTCAGTCGCTAGTAACGAGAAGTATGTTAAAACATACAAACAACACAGACATCAAAATCTGTTTTAAAGAAAATGATTATACTGACTAGTAGAAATATATTCTTTAAAAGAGTCAACTAAGCCTTTTAAAGTATCTTTAAAAACAGTTTTGCATTATGTATCCGCAAAAATGCAACAAGAATAGGAATGGCTTTTTTCACCACGCTTTCTGATATTCTGCTTTTTCAGCAAAAGCCTAGTGCATCATTCTCCCTGTACAAAGATCAGCACCAAGATCCCTCTGGCTGGATTCCCCAGGTCTTTTGCCACAGGAAATTGAGATTCACTCCAGCAGAGTCCTACAGAATATCCAGGGTAACAAGTCAAATGCTTCCTGACCCTTCTGTGGGGACCCTAATCCTTGTGCACAGGTCCAACAAAGCCATCACCCTCTCCAGGCTCCCCCTCTAACACTGCTGGTGCCTGCTGCTTGTAGGATTCTGCGGTGAAATAAAAGCATCACAGTGACAGCTGGCAGTGGTGGCCACACTCCTTCTCCTGCTTGAGGAGGGTCTTCTTGCCTTTAATAAACTTCTTTGGTTCTGCAAACAGAAGGAAACAAATTAATTAGCAACACTACTGCACAGCACGTATTCAAGGAATAAGAATGTCTGTCACCTGTTCCTGAGCTACTTTGCCAACTGTTTACACCCATCGAGAGGGACCCAGATACTAAAGAATAAAGTTGTCCCTTCACCACAGAACAAGAAACTTCTGGGAACTAGACAATCTGTAGATGCAACTTAAAGACTTCAGATTAATTAGAGGGTAATTATTTTTTGAGGGGAGAGGATGATGCTGGACATCTTTTGTACAGGCGTGGGTAAAACCCAAAGGTAGCTGGGATGCAAGCTATATGCCAACCAATCCCTTTAGAAAGCATAATTGAAAGAAAAGATCCATATTTGTTTCCAATATTTCCAACAGGAAAGCTGAAAATTACATGTGTCTTCAGAGTCAGACTTCCATTTGAAACCCAGCTCCTACATCTACCCTCTTAGCCTTATGATAAACGGTAACCATACCATTTATCATCCAAACCAGAATACTTTAAGAATAAAATGGAATGCTATTAACAATACACCTGGACAACAGGCGTAAACTAGGACTGCTCCGGGCAAAGAGAAGCGTAAGATCACTAGTCTAAATAAATACTGCCTATGTCATGGAGATATGATGAGTATCAAGTAAATGCTTAGCACAGTGCCTGGCATAAGCTCGATGTTTATACCAGATTACATTCATTTAGAAATGATTTCTTATGATGTTTAATAACAACTGTCATGTATTCTCCTTTAAATAATGAATTTTGCCACCAATGTCCCATAATATTAACCCTTTCAAAAATGTACTCTAAAAATAATAATATATGGACATCAGTTTCTTACAAACTATAATGTACCAAATATCCTCCCTAAAAATACAATTAATTCTATTTAATACCATATCCAAAATGGTAAGACTGAGACTTCCCCAGTTTTGTCCACTGCTTTACCACTGCTAAAGCTTTCAAAAAAGACAAATATTTCCCCACCCATAAACAAGCGGATGCTATAATCCAAAAAAGAGAGTTGCATACCGTCACAGTTATGAAAAATGCTTGCAGCCAGGTCCCTTTCAACTTCCTTCTACAGCAGTGTTTCTGCCTCTCCAAGTAGCGGGATCCCCAACTCTTCAAAGTTCACTTCCTTGCTGTTGAGTGTCAATTATCCAGAAACCACACAGGTATGTTAAATGATGACTGCCACCATGAAATGCCAGGACTCTACCATCTGCTCCCCCGCCTCTGCAGCGGGGCGGTAAGGATCAGAAACAGATCCTCGCATTCACAAACACACACATATTCTTTCGAAATATTTCTGTTCACTGCCCCCTAAATGACAGGCACGCTTGTACTCATTCACTCTTCTATGATCAAACCTTTTGGCCAAGTAGTCAGTGAGAGTGAGTGAGTGAGTGTGAGTGTGAGTGTGTGTGAGTGTGTGTGACAGTTGGAATAAAATAGATTCCAGAACTACATACATAGGCATGGGATGGGTTCTGGCAGAGAACTTCCAAGGCAACAATCTAAAGTACCTGTGTCTGCGCATGCTCAAGAAAGTGTAGGTGTTTAGGACACAAGACTTGACATACCCCTCATGCTTAGTATCAAATACACAGAAACCTCCATTTCCATGAGTTCGCATGTTGCGGCCAGAAAGAAAGAAACTCTCGGAACTCCTGTTAATACAATGCTTTCTGTTTCACGGCAAAGAGGAAAGAGCGTAACTGCTGCTTTCAGCATTTTCGGCTGACAGTTTATATCCCCAAAAACAAACACGCCTGAGACCTTGCTCATCCAAATCCATTCATGAAAATGGTTGTAAGTACTAAAGTTCTAAAAGTACAACTTATTTTTAATTTGGAGAGAATTCAATAGGTACAGAAAAGAAGGCAATTTCCCCCACGTATTTACCAGCCATTTGATTCTGAACTACTTCTCCAGCCTAAGAAGACACCGCCACCTAAGAATTTCTAAAAGGAACTTACAGGCATCTTCCAAGGCCTACAAGGCGATACCTCTGCTGTATGTAGCACCTGTATTTTTAATTAGGCCAGTTCTCTAGAGCAAAAGCCAGCCTCTGAATGAATGCACGTAACAAATACTCACCGGTGACAACCACAGAGCTCCGTGAAACGATCCTAGGGCAATACCTACATGAAAGCAACATGCAACTACTGGGCCCAGCAGAGCAAAAGGTATTGTTCGAGGCACTTTTTAAAATCACATGGACCAATCGACTTGGGCAAAATAATAAAAGAGGTGCAAAAATATCCCCCCTTTCTAAGCCCGAGCACCCGCTAGCACTGTGGGGAGGAGGGCAGTTCTGCCAAGTGGGACCGTTCCGTCACGCCTAGAAAGCTGCAGGCACCCTCCCTACAGTTCCACTTTCACACACAGTTGTCACATTCCGCTTTCCACACCTGGTTCTATGCCATTACAAGTACTAGCTTTCTCTTTAGAAGTATGCTCCAAACTTACGTAATACACACAAATTTATACGACAGTGAGATTAGGGTTTGAAAATATTACCCTATTCGCCTCTACAGCAAATTGCTACAATATATTATACTTACTGCCTCTTTAATTTCACAGGTGAAAACATGTATCTGAAATTCTTCTGAACCGTGGGAACTCTCTGTAAATGCAAAGCAGTTGCTCTCTGCTGTCCCATCGTGTCCGCGTGCACAGAACAGCACCTTATAGATTGGAAAAGATGCTATCTCCACACTCCTGGATTGGTCTATGATTCTGCATAACAGTGATGGAAAATGAAATAAAATATTAACTATCAAAGAACAAGGCAAACAGTTTTACAGTGGCAATCACACATAAACATAATTATCTTAAAAATCCAAAATAAGCTGGTACCAATAATGCAAGGAAACAAATTATCTTCAAGTTCTTGCTATATGTGTGCGCGCACATGTATGTGTGCATGAGTATTCACACACACAAAGTCTTCACCTTCATTTTTGTGTTTCATATGATCCAGTTCACTTATTCCCTCAGCCAAGGATACACACTGCCTGGTAAAATCTCTGTCGCCCACCCCTAAATGCGAGGCTCATTCTGTCACAGAGAAGGAACGTCGCCAGTGCAGAACAGCACAGACCATCCAACGAGAGCTCATTTCTACTCAGAGCAGCTCCTGCAGGTTTACCAAGGCCCAGGTCACTGCTTCACCAAGACGCTTCATTCCCCAGGGAAGTCAGAGTGGTTCCAAAGACCAAAGTCACAATGCAATTTACAAGGTAAAAGGGATCTGTGAGATTTAAGATCAAATAATATCTCTGACTTTCTCTACACAACTCCTAAGCCCTAGATTGATCTAAAAACTCCAGACTACTTCGGAATCTCAAACTCCAAAACTAAGGGGGACCCACTAAAAATAGAGAGGCAAGTCAAAAAACTAAATAGATTGATAACATTAATAAATAGATAACATTAAAAGCTATTTTGACATTTTTAAGAGCTATTGTACAAACAATATAAATACAAAACCCTTTCTTTAAAAATTCAAAGCATTTTCCCCAAAATCTTATCATTTATATTGTTATTATTTTGGTACTTAAACTTCGCTAACATTTTCTCACATTCTAAACTTGAGAGAAGACAATGAGACAAATCAGAAAGGGTTTGAAAAAAGATTAAATCAGCCTTCAGGGAATATTATAGGTTCGGGACACATTCGACTTAATTGCCTAGACCTGAAATGTTAATTTTTTCATTCAGCAATTATTTACTGAAAACCTGGACCAGATACTGTTCTAGACATTGAAATTACAACAGAGAAAATTACAAATAACCTGTTCCCACAGAGCTTATATTCTAGCGAGTAAAGTAGGCAATAAACAATTAATAAAATGCTACAAAGAAATCAAAGACACAGTGATGGGAAAGAGAGGTATAGTTATATGATACGATCCACAGAGGCTTCTCTTGATAAAATGTTTGTTGAGTGGGAATTGGAAAGAAGTAAAAAAGCCACTGGAAAACCAAGGAAAGACTGTTTAGGCAAAGGAAATAGACTGTAAAAAGGCCCTGAGGTGGGAATCATGACAGCATTTGAGAAAACAAAGAGGCTACTATGACTGGAATGTAGTGAATGAATGCCATGAATGAATGAAGTGAGAAAGCAGGAGTGAGAGAGAGCAAAGGTCAGGTCAGAGCAGTAGGTCATCAGTGGCCACACATGGTAAGGATTTCAAATATAATCACAAGTGTGACTAGAGGCCATTGGAGGGCTGAGTATAGAAGAATAAGATCATCTGACCTACGCTTAAAGAAATGTAACGTTCAGATGATGTTAAATATTATTCCTAACTAAGCATAAGAAAAAAAACCATTTTGCTTCTTTGCAGTATGATGTAAAGAGCTTAAAATCTAGGGCTCACTCTAGATTTCTGAACCACTACTATATGAAAAGAGGAAGGCAGGTTTTTACACTCCTTCGGAATAAAGAAACACAAATTACAGGTATTTTTACAGTGGTATTTCCATTTATAATATTCTAAGCATAGTTTTACAAATGCCCCTTACAAATAAGGAACACAGTCTAAACCTACACATTTACTTTGCATGTCTACAAATTAAAAATGAATTAACAGTAAGTCCTAGGCCTGATTTATGATATAATATAATCACCACCCCCAAAAAAACTTCAATATGTCTAAGAGGGGGAAAAATATTAGGGTTTACCTCACAGAACCTTCTGGAACATTTGGAACATATAGAGTAACAGGAAAAGGGGACTGACTGGAAGATTTCATAGTTGCCATTGCCCGTAATGCCTCCACTTCATTACGTGGAGAAGAAACTTTCAAACATCCTAGGTAGGTCAGTTTGTTAAATAAAACGCTATCTTCTTCAGGTACTCCACTTGGAGAAGATGGTCTGGGCGTAGAAATTTCTGAAGGGAAAAGAAAAAGAAATGCTCAAAAGTTAATGCAAAATTTCATGGTATAATTTTGCCTATTGCTCAAAAACAAATGAAAAACTGCAAACAAAATTTAGGTCTCTCTGTGTTTTCATTTCTTTTAATGTTTATCTCATATCTTAATACAGAGTTCTAGAATTGGCCATTTTATATTTTCAAACTGCTTGAAGTATTATCTTACTAAGCTCTAACTAGAGGAAAAGAAAAAATGCTAAGCCTTATATTTTAAAAAATAAAAACACAGAGTTCAAATACTACAGAATAAGGAGATTAGCCTAAAAAATAATAAAAATTAAATAAAATCAAAACCAGTTAAAAGTTTCTCTTGGCTATACAGATCATGTTTAGCACCAAACTTATTAAGCAGCCTAAGTTCCTAGGCAGAAGTAAACAATATTAAGGTGTTACATCTCACACCAGTAACCACACAAGTCAAGCTTCTTACTTTGCTCCTTCCTGGCTTCCTGGCTTCTACGAACTATGTAAGCATTACAATGGAAATTTTTCCCTCGAAATAATTATTCTGATGAACAATCCTATGATTATTTTCCCCCAATTCTCCCTTCCCCACTTCTTAAAAAAAAATAAAAAACATTGTTCACTTTAACGCTAAGCATAGGATGTAGCAAAGGCCCAATTGTGATTAAAGAGTATCTATCTGCATATTATCAGGTAGTATAAAACTCTCCATTTGCCACTCTGCCCACCCCTATCTAAAACCCACATTCATCCAGTCTCCAACTCTTCCCCTGTTACCCATAACCATGCTGCACAAAAATAAGCTGAAAGCAAAGATAATGGGAAAAAATACTGAAAGTAGACAGAGAAAAACAGCATGTTACAAATACAGGAACACTGAATAATTCAAATGACAGCAGATTTCTCATTAGAAACTATGCAGACAAGAAGACAGTAGAATAACACCTTTAAGGTATCGAAGAAAAGAACTATCTAAATGCTTTTTTGAAGGACATGGCTCCAAAGAAATTTGGGGGTTCTACTAAGGTGCTTCGATGAAGATGGGCCTATATCCTTTCCTACACCCATTTTAAGCAGAAGAGTTATGATTATTGAGCTTGAACCAAAGATTTTATGTGATTTTATTTTCAGATTTAAGATTTCCAATACTCTTGATGATGATGATGATGAACATTTTATTTGGTATTTACTTTGTGCCAGGTATTTTACAAAATACTTTATATGGATGGTGTATTTAATCCTCCGACATCCCTGGGAGGCAGGTTCTATTTTAGCTCTTTTTTACAGATGAGGAAACTGAGCATTAGAAAAGTTAAACAACTTGCCCAAGGCCATACAGCCATAGACGGAGCTTGGGTTCAAACTTAACTTGGGTTCAAACTCTCTATGAAAGGTCTAAAATAGGATGAATTAAAAGCAAAATGTAGTTCTTATTCTGTTATCAATTATAGAGAGTATCAGCTCTTCAAGGGAAGAAATCATTCTACTTTTTATTCCCAGCTCTTATTGTGTCTAAAAGACTAGACACTCAATATATAGCAAATGAATTAATCACTAAATAAATAAACACTTTTAGGGTTAGTGGTCCTTATGGCAATCTATTATGACAAACATATCATCCTGGGCACTACCTAGACCCTAACTCATCGACAATTAAATGTATCATAACTACAGCCTTCATGTAGACAAAACTCATTGGTAACTATCCAATTATGACAGATAGAAATCATGAGTTAAGCGGGCAAAGAGTAAAATATTTTAGCAAAGCTTAGGCTGGGTAAAAATCACACACCACGGTAAGGAATTCATCTCCACCTAAATGTAAATTCAGTCCTATTCAAGTCATACTTCTTTAATTCTCTTATTCCTTCCTCAGCAGAAAGATGCAAAGAGTAACAAAGAGTATGAGAGAGAAAACTCATCTAATTATCCAAACGGTACTTTAGTACATTGCCGTAAACTAGCAATGATTTTCTGTTAATGTTGAGTCCAAATAGCCAGGATATAAGATCACCAAATGACAAAAACCAACCAGTTATCAAGATGTTTAAACAAAAGCTCTCATCTACCTAGTTTTATAACTGGCAAACAACATATGATAATGCTCATTTTTTACCATTTAAATCTAGACATTTCCAGATAGTTGCTTGCCATCGAAGTTATGTCATTTTAAAGCAACCACAATTTTCTTAGCAAAAACTGGGTTGACTGCAGCTATGAAACAGCAGCTAAAGTGTCTTGTTCAGTCTGCTGTAACACAGTACTCAGGCTGGGTGGCTTATAAACAACAGACATCTATTCCTCACAGTTCTGGATGCTAGGAAGTCCAAGATCAAGGTGTGAGCAAATTCAGTGTCTGGTGAAAGCCAGCTTTCTAAATAGCATCTTTTAACTGTGTCTTCACATGGTGGAAGGGACAAGCTAGCTCTCTGGGGTCTCTTTTATAAGGGCACTAATTCCAATCATGAGAACACAAAAAGGGTGTACAATACATGATCCCCACCAAATACACTCAGGAATAAGAATCCTATTATCTAAGCCATTGCAAAGGACAGTTGATTCCAACAACCAATCTGAGCTACTCTAGAAGAGAAAGGGTATTTCTTCCTTTTGAGTAACAAAAAAATAATTATATGAATAGTGGTAGCAACAGCTTTGTGTTTTGGGGGAGGGAGGGAATTTAAGAGATTCAAAAGATAAAGCAAAGTACAGTGAATAATATAATCTTTCATGTTTCTTCAATCAAGAACAAAAACTAATATACTGGAAGGTTTGTTTCCAATCTTGTATTTTTTAGAAAGCTATATATATATAGCTTAAGTCCTATTGGACTTAAATCTAGCAATACGTATGACTATACTCTAAGACCTACGAGTCTTTATAATGAACCACCAAACCATGGGGTGTTCTTGGAGACCACCGATGCAGCGCAAATATCTTCTCCTACTCTTTTAACCGTATTTCTTAGGTAACTTTCTCATTCAGAAGATTTAAGTTTTAATGTATTAAAATATAACCACCTTTTCCTTTCTGATTTGGGTTTTTCTACCCTGACAACCACAAAAATATTCTCTTATATTTTCTTCTTACAGATTTCTCACACTTAAATATTTGAGTCACTTGGAATTACCTTGTGGCCCCACTGGGTAGCACTTCAGCCCAAATCTATACTTACCCTACACCGACATTCAAGAATAGACCATGAGTGCTAAGCCAATCAAGAAAGCTTCATCTCCTCTGCCAGAGTGACTTACTGAGGGACCTGAAAGTAACCAAGGCCTGCACCCTTCAGTCCATACCATTCCCTTGACCACTAGGAAAGGTTCAGTTGGTCCAATCAGAGTAAAACCCACACGTCTGTGCAATGGGTAAAAGAACAGAGACTTTCTCTCTGCCACAAGGCATGAACAAATCACCTGGCCTTACTTTTTGATTTCTGCTACTACTTTTGACCATAACGTAAGCCAGTTAAGGAAAACGGTGACATGGAAAAGATCGAAGCTGAACAGTTTACAAAGAAACACTACCAGGGCCCGGATCAAACCACACCTCTAGGATTTAAACCAGCCGAAGCAGGAGTTAGATTTGGTTTATTTGGCTTTTCTTACACCCAAAACCATTTTGACTTATATTCCTACCACATATCTTACCCATTCATGGATGGATTCATTATGTAATATACTGATGGAGTTGATACGGTATTTTACTTAGGATTTCTTTCACGTATTATAATTTGAAATAACTGTAGTCAAACTGAGTAAAAAGGCACACCATATGAAAGACTGTGTACATCACACTATTCTCTGATACCCAAGAATTTATTCATTTGCTCACTAAGTATTTACTGAGGGCCTTACTCTGTGCCAAGTACTAGGGGTAAAATGAAGACCCAGACAGAGTGCTTGTTCTTAGAGAACACTAAGACCGGCTTCACAGGTAGGGAGATAAACAGCAACATAAAAATCAAAATGGGGACTCGACCAGAACTGAAGAGCTGGTGGCCCTGATCTTAAAAACAAAGCTAACAGTACTTTTTAATTTTCATCTTAAATTTTTCATTATCACTTTATCTCATTTCTCTTACAGTTTCTAAGAGTTCAATACAGTGGTCCCCCACCTTCTTGGCACCAGGGACTGGTGATCCTATGAGAATCTAATGCCTGATGCTCTAAGTGGAGCTGAGGCGGTGATGCTAGCGCTGGGGAGTGGCTGCAGATACAGATGAAGCTTTGCTCGCTCACTTGCCCACCGCTCACCTCCTGCTGTGCGGCCCGGTTCCTAACAAGCCATGGCTGTGGACTGGTACTGGTCCACAGCCCAGGGGTTGGGGACCCCTGCAATACAATACCTGTATTTGATGGATCCAAAATTAGCTGAAGAGATGGCTTATTTGTTTGGCTGGCTGAAACATCTCCAAATGAATGGTCTGAGATCTCACTGGAACTTTGATGATCATCGACAAGAAGGCCACTTTGCCCTTTCTCAGAATCTCTCAAAATCTCTTCCATGGCTTTTTCCAATTGTTCATCATCATTAGAAACTATCTATAGACAAAGCAAGACAATTTTGTTTCGATCATATTATGATTCTAGAGCTTAATGAAAACATTTCATTTCTGGAATTAATTAAAACAATCTAAATATTTAAATTTAAATATGGTTACTGAATACCAAGAGTTTATACAGCTGTACCTAATTTCACTCGATATAATACAAAATCTTAAATTGTAAAACTAACTAAATTAGAGGATTATTAGTTTCATAAAAGGATTCCTCAGAAAACACTTTAGGCAGTTTCCAACTACATCTGATTTAAGGTCTTATTTATAGAGATTTCCTTTTCTTGTTTTAATTTTTCAGGAACAAATTCCAAAACCAGGTCATCTTAAATGTATGTGTTTTAAAGAGTAGAAATGGATAAGTTTAAAGAGACAGTGTCTACTGCGAATATCATTTAAAAGGTCATATTTCTCAGCATAAACATATGTTTATTTTCTTTATAAATTTTGCTTACTACCTGCCAAGAGGAGAATTGCTAATTTCCTTACATTTAAGTTTGTTCATCTTTTTTTAAAAGCAGGTGAAGCGCAAAGCCTAAGTAAATAAATGATGTCGCAAATTAAACACTTTAATACTAAAACACAGATAAATAAATTTAAATAGTTGTTTATTTAAATAAATATTTAATTAAATAAATTTAAATAAAGCCATTGATTATTTAATAAAATTATTAAAATATATATTCTCAACATGTCAAATGGGTATTTAATAATGATCTGTATAAAAAATTTATTAGATTGATACTGTAGTTAGTATTAAATAGAAATCATAAAAAATATGTAACACTTTTGACTAATTTCTCTATTTCTGTTTCTAGAGGGTGGATATGCAATTCTCATGCATGTATACCTGGGTTTGTTTGATTCTTTATGAGTTAAAAAAGGCAACATAAAAAAGAAAAAAGAAAAAGAATCATATCCAAAAAAAAACTCAACTGCTAAAAACATAAGACATATACTTTAAAAATATTTAAACAAGTCTACTGTTAAATCACATACTGGAATGTTATCAGGTGATTTAAAACATAAAAACCATAAGGAAAAGTCTCTGACGTGAAAGTGAAATATAACTATTTATATAATTAATTTTAAGCAGCAGTAAGAGAGAAAAAAAATCCATATAAATCAAATTTATGTAAGATTTAACTATTAAGTCTAATTCTCAATTACCTTTTTTTCCTCTTCCAGTCCTTCTTTCTAAATTCCAAATTAAAAGATAAATTACCAAAAGCAAAAAAACTTCAAAAATATACAAACCAAATAATGAGCCTCATATAAATCAAACATCAATTCTATTCTCAAGGTCAATACTTGAGAAAATCCTCTGGATTTTACACATCTCCTTTCATCTAGTTTAAAAAAAAAACTAATAATTTAAAGTAGTATCATTTGTAGAAAAGAAAAAGAAACACCTTCAGTTCAGGTTTTCCGTCATCTTTAGTAGAAGTATCATCTGCATGCTGAGGAACCAAAACAAATTCTTCACTGTTCAGTGCAGTCACAGAATCCGATGACCCAGTAACCTTCTGTAATGAGGCTCTGACCTCCATTTCAGTTCTGCAAACTTCTCTTCCCACATCCACCTGGTCAAAACCACAGGGATTAAAGAAAAAATAAAAACTACTGAATGAAAACATGAACTGATCAATCCTCGGCCTTTAAAGATGGTTCATGTGAAGAAGAAATCTGCTGACTAGATAATTCTCTCGAAACTAGAGAAGCTGCCTTCTCGGTCCACGCCACATGCTGGAAAGGCACACCCCGCTGCACGGCCGAGTTTCTAGACTAAAAGAACCATGTTGTTCCCGAAAAGCAATACAAACCCGCCCACATCGCAACTAAGCAGGTTTACCACTGTTTGACTCTCTATAGTACTCCTAGAAACACTGCTTTTATTCTTTTTCATAAATTCTGTTTGACTCTCTGTATAGTTTTCCTAGAAACACTGTTTTTGATTTTTCATAAATTCACATACACACAAAAACGTTCACTGAAATTACTTTATAATTCTAAATGTCCCCAAAATTTTATCTCAAGACCACGTATAGTACCTTAAAATATTTTTCACTGTGTCACTTAACCAATTAATATACACATTTCAACACCCTAAACCATGTATCCTTTTTTTCCAAACTCATTACCACTTATCAGCTGGAGACGGGGAGAGACCAGAGGCCAAAGCTTCCACAAGGCATGCATGTAGCAAACGACGTTTCAGTCACCAAACACAGTGTGATTCCGCTTTCTGGATAGATCTCTACTTCGCACCACAGAAACTCAACATTCTCTAGATGTCCACACTAATTTTAACTCAACCTGCATACTACACGGCAGACGCTCGCATCGGGGTTACATGAGTGAATAAGGCAGACGTGTTGCCTGCTTCTCTAGAGCTGACATCTGGTAAGGAAACAGGCAAAGAAGCTAATAAAGTAGTTCCAAATCACCCCAACGGCTGCGAAGAAAATAAAACAGGTTAATGTGACAACGAGTCGCTTTAAGGAGTATAGGGACAACTGTGAGTAAGGTGGTAAAAAAGGACTCTCTGAAGGGGAAATATTTGAGCTGAAACCTGAAGAACAGAAGGAACATATATTACGCAATCTGCTGAGACCAAAGGGGTACTGTGACAGAGGGGGAGGACAAGTAGGCCAGAGCAGAAGACGACAGGACCTTGTACCTAAGGTAAGTCTGCTGATCTATTCCTAAAATTCCCCCTAAAATGTTCTTTTTCTCTAATTCGGTTGTTCATTGCAGCATATAAGTATGGCTGCAATATCTCATTTTGCCATTAGGTGACACTTGACACCATTACTCGTGCCCCACCCCCTCGAAAAAGATTTACTTCCAGCTTCAAGTTACACTTGAAAAAATTACTTCTCAACTTTATCAAAAATCTAATTTTCCAATAATATCAAAATAAAGGATAATTACATTCCTAGGCTAGAGTAATTAGCTAGCCATCATTTATTTCTCTTAGGCATGTTAATAGCCTTTCTTTTTAAAACTCTTCAACTACAGTCATCTGTCCTCTAAAGGCTGTTCTCATTTTGCATATTATGTTTCTGAAAATGTAGTATGTGTTAGAAGCCATGCCTTTACCCTTTCAGATGTCCTCATGAACCCTTGATTAACACGACATCACACACTCCAGGTCTGCTTTGTGTGGACAATCCTTCCCCAAATCCTTTCAGTTGCCACTCCGCCACTTGACACCTAAATGTTGGAAATTCCTACAGGTATCAGCTTTCAGTCATCCACTCGACAAATATTTACTAAGTCTCTACTATGTGCTAGAAACTATAATGGGAACTGGAGAATAAATGCTGAGTTACACCAGTGCTGTCCTGGTCTTCCTAAAGCTAACATTCTTATTTATGGAAGACATAATACAGAAGAAAATAAAGCAGGATCACATCCTGGAATAAGTACTACAAACGGTGATGGGAAGGCAGGAGGCAGTCTGGACCCGGCTGACATCTGGGTTTAACAGGAATGAGTAAGCCATGAAAGGACCGAGAGAAAGAACCTGATGGGAGAAAAGGCTTACTGAGGAACGAAAAGGAGGCCTTGGCAGCGAGGTCATAGCGTACAGGTGAGAGTAGTTTATTGAGACAGGAAAGGAAGGCAGAGCAGCCGGAGGCCGCCCTCGAGGCTAAGGCTATCTGAGCCCTCTCCGCACCCCCAGCGCCATCTGGTTCACCAGGGAATGTTCCATGCCTACCATGATATCTGGTACAGAGTAGATATTCAATCAACGTGTTGAACAAATTCTTCTTAAAAAGCACCAATCAGGTCAAAGTTCTTACGAATGGCAAATGCGAAGCCAGGATTTAAACCAGGGAGTTTAATTTGAGAGTACATGTTCTGACCCACATTGTATTATATTGTTTTCTTTCCATTACAGTTGACATTTGATATTATTTTACATTAGTTTCAGACCTTTATATTATTTACAAAGTGATTCTCCCCAATAAGTCTAGAACCTGCCTGGCACCAAACATCGTCTCTTAAAGTCTCCTCGTGTGCTGAGACCCACAGCTGGTATCTGCCTCAACAGAACAGCACTAAGCACACTGAACCTTCTTCACATCCTTCCTCATCAAGACTGATCTGTCTCTTCCTCCAAAGCATTCTTCTTAGATAAGTGATAAATAACCTGATAGTTAGCTATTAGAATTAGAATGTTAATAAATATTAATGGTTGTTCAACTCAAATTCAATTTGCAGGGGTCTTTTAAACAATATGGAGCTTGCTGTTGTGTGAACTCAAGACTAATGCACCCATTTCAACTCAGCAAGTAAAACAAAAAAGCAAAACTGCTTTTAAAAGCATTTAGTTAAAAGGCTACTCTATTATAATCTAAAAATTAGAATGTAAAATCTGACAAAGAATTTTTATGTTGCTTCACGTACCAAAAAAAATACTGAGAACTATATAGTCTAGGCAGAAACACTTTTATTTTTAGGGCATTTTAAAGGTATGTAAAACTAGAGGACAGGAAACTTATCGGTGCTACCAAAAATGCGATCTATATTTCTTCTTTTCAGCCCCCTTCTTCCCAGCTCTGAACCCAAAGGAACGCAATAAATATTCTTGGGTTGAATTAAATCACTTAAACACACATTCCCCACACCTAACGCAATTCTACCAAGTGAAATCCCTTTTAATTCTAACTTTAACACCACATAATTTTTGTCAAATGAGCATTATAATATCTAAATTAGCACCTCACTTGGATGCCTAAAACTACAATTTTCACGTATACCAGAAACAGTAAAACAACATTCAGCAAAGTCTTACTAGAAGCTATCTTCTTCCCAGAATAACCAAACACATTCAAAAGTATAAAACTGTGGTGCACATGGTCCAATTTCTTTCTGCGCCAAATGTGGTTAGTCTGCTTCTTGCTTTTATATTACATGTTTGCATCCTATTCATTTTCAAGTGGCTCTTGAACTAAAATAGAAAACTGAAAAAAAATGAGTGTACGTCAAAATTGGATAAGCTGGGAGGACTATCAGGCTTGAGAATTAGAATGACTATAGCAGGTCCATTATAAAGGTAGAAACAAGAAATATTCTTAATTTAAAATAAGAAAATAAGTCTACAGCCATGCCACCCTGAACACACCCGATCTCGTCTTATCTCGGAAGCTAAGCAGGGTCGGGCCTGGTTAGTACTTGGATGGGAGACCACCTAGGAAGACCGGGTGCTGTAGGCGTAAAAAAGTAAAATAAAATAAGAAAATAAATATGAATAATTTAGAAAAATATTTACCAACCATAATTCTTCTGTGCTTTGAAGACTAAGACAGTCCTGGAAAAAACTACCACGATCTCTGTTTACTAAACAGTCTATCCACTACTCAGGCAAGAGCCACACATGTACATATGTATGTCTGCAAGTATGTCCTTTCTGCAGAAAAAGGTACACAAGGACCTTATTCATTCACGTTACTTTAGTGGACACTTAATTTTTTTTTTTTTTTTGGTCCAACAATAACCTCCAAGCCTCTTTTCCTGAGAATAAGAGTTCCCTCTACTCAAACCACATGGCTTTTATAGAAACCTCAACACCATGGCCAAACAGATCCAAAGGTAAACACTGACTCCAAACTGGACCGATTAACCCATTTCTTAAGATTTCTGGACTGGTGACTAAAGAGTTCATCATGACAGTGACTCTCTCACAGTAGAAACTTTTAAGATGTAAACGAGGAATTGTCAGAGGCCATGCTTTTTCCCCATGTGAAGAATGCCAGTATAGAGGGAGAGAGAAGCAAGCCAGAGTCTTCACTGAGTCAGACCACTTTGCTCGAGTCATTCCTAAGGCCTAGCCCTGTCTGTTCCCATCCTCAGTCTTGGTAAATGCACTGTTCCTTTAATTCTATAAAACATCCCTTCCGATAAATTCTTTTTGCATAAGCTAGTTTAAATTGAGTGTCACATGAAGCCCAATGAATCCTAATATAATTATATGCTAGCAAAAAGATACACAAGATATATTTTAATGGACTGCAGATGTCCTTATGGTTTCATATAGTAGGCGTGAGAACAGAAATCCAGGTGAAGGAAGAAGAGAGAATCTGAAAAGTTGACAATAATTTCCCAGATAAACATTATAGTGGGTGTGATGAAAGAAAGAAAAAGCAAAGAAATGACTTACTTGAAATAATTACAGGAACAAAACGGGATAATACAAGTGGTATTTACAGTCAAAGGATGGTTTAAAGACAATAGAAGAATGTTTTACAACCAAAACAGGAAGCCATCAAAGGACAAAGAGGAATTTAAAGTAGTAAGCACGTTAAGATTATTGCTACATAATATTCCTATGTCATAAAAACAGAATATAATACAGGAAAAAATATTTTATTTAAAAATCTGTATTAGGATGGTGAGATTTATAAGTATGGTAGATTCAATTATTTTTACTAATTTTTTATTTCCTCCCTATAACAGAATTATACACTTGTGCCCCTTGCCAAGTGACTTTGCAATACCTCCCATGAGAGTAAGTAGAGCAAAATATTTCCCTTACCAAATCATTTTGGGCTTAGCTATGTAATTTGCTTAATCAATGGAATATCAATAAGCAAAA